TCGGGAATGCGACCTGACTTGCGCTAGCATCAGCATTGTTAACAAATGCAAAACATTGCCAAGCAGGCGGCCATAGGGAATAGATAGTTATTTCTACACTGGATACATTTGTTGATTACTGTGATGCTCTCGCTACAACAATGAAGCGCGATTCTTTTTCTGATGATAAGTATGAAAATAGGCCCGCTAGCAGCGCAAAACACAGCTTGTATCTTCTGCTTTGGAGTTTAGATTGCCAAGCATAGCAACGTAGAACTTGCATTGGCTCCCGGCGCACTTGAGATGCCATGTAAAGATTTTGTTTCTTGCTGACTTCGTGGTGCCATATCTTCCATCCCGAAAGCCACATTCGCAACACGTGGGTCATTTAGCGACCAAGTCTGCAGGTTCCCGAGCATGCTCTTTTTGGGCTCCGGCATGCTGGAATGTCCTACCCGTGGAAATGAGAGCAGCGATGAGCTACTTAAGTAGAAATGTTTCGCCGTGGTGAAAAGATAGCATGGCTCTCAAGCCCTGGCGGTGATGTGGGTGGCTGACTCCACTTTGGCGACCTCCCTCAAGGCACAGACACTCCATCCTCGTTGTCATCCTCTTCCATCAAAGGTGTGTGTCCTCTTCTTCTTCTTCCTCCTCCTCCGCTACTGCTTGATTGACAAACACCTAGAGGACCAATGAAACGGTGCTTGTTGTCGGGCAGAATAGACAGGTTAGGAACCTCCTCTTGGGACTAGAAATATTTTTGGGGATTAAAACATTTGCCCTGGACTAGAACCTACAAGCTTCTCTTGGGGCGAGTACCTTTTTGTGGACTCTTAACATTTTCTGGAGATGACTACCTTCTGCCTGGACTACAACCTTCTGATTCTGCACTAGGATGACAAAGCTCTCTTGAGAAAACCAACTTCTCTTGGGTCTAGAATCAGGGGTCGGCAATCTTTCAGAGCCATTTCGACCCGGTTTCCGCGGAAAAGATAACACGGGGAGCCGCAAACACTTTTTGACATTCCGAAGCGACAACAGAGC